ATGTAGATTTCTAATCTTCAGGTTACTTCTTAGAATTTTTTTGAACACCTGTAAAATGGGCTAGTATTGTTGTTGTTGTAAGCTGCCCTTGGGTTGGCCCCTGACTCACGGTGACCCCATGCAAAACAGAAAGAAACGCTGCCCAGTCCTGTGCTATCCCCATAATGAGTTGCAGATCAGACCCTTGTATCTATAGGGTTTTCACTGGCTGATTTCCAGAAGTAAATTGCCAGGCCTTTCTTCCTAATCTGTCTTAGTCTAGAGGCTCTGCTGAAGCCTGTTCAGCATCATAGTAGAACGCAAGCCTCCAACGACAGAAGGGCGATGGCTGTGGATCAGTTAGATAGTCAAGTTTACAGTTTTTAAAAGAGTCCTTTTACTATAGAGTAAATGGGGAGCATTAAGAACAGAACAGAGCTTATTAAGCACTCTAGGTTATAATGTGTATAATGGGTTTCTCAAATGTTAAAAAGGCAAGTAAATCAGACCTTATCAATAACTTTACTAACTTGTAATCTAGATCCAGATAATCAATACCTGTTAAAACCACCCAATGTCACTGAGTACATTCTGACTCGTAGCAACCCTGTCGGACAGAGCAGAACTGCCTCACAGGGTTTCCAAGGCTATAAATCTTCATGGAAGCAGACTACCACCTTTCTCCCAAAGTGCAGCTGGTGGCTTCAAACTGCTGACCTTTCAGTTAGCAGCTAAGCGCTTAACCACTGCACCACCAGGGCTCCTTCAGATAATATTTGTCTACAATTTATGTTGGGATGTTCAGAGTTTTTATACCCGAATAACTTTCTTTTAAATGGCATATGTTTAATAGAGCAATTAGAATGAAAATAGAAAATGAAAACTATAACAATGAAGAAAAAATACGCAAAAAAGCAGTAAAAAGTTATAGTAATCTAGGATTAAATTTCAAACTCATTGTTCATACCAGCCAAAAAAAATGGGGGTGGGAATAATAGATTACATAATTGCTGCTTTTAAAACAAAAAAGGCATTCTGTTTCACTATCTCACTGAATTCTACTATTCATTATTATGTCTTTCTCAGTAATTTGAACGGAAGTACCTATCAGAGTATATTTCAGTTACACTGTTAAGTATTTTGAAGGAGATTATCTGCATCAAACATTATTACCATTAAATGCATACATATTTAGAAAAGCACAATTTTTACTTCTTACCAGTCGAATAAGCTGTCTGTCTAGCCATCTAAGGACATCTGGCCCCTCCTCTGTTTCTGCTCTATATATTGCCAGGCGGGCCATAAGAATAGCAGCTGCCTCCTGGTCAAAAGAAGCAGCGATGTTTTGGATTTGAGTTTGAGCATCTGCCCAGCTAAAGACAAGAAGAAAGCATAGAAGTGCTGTTGAATCATTATATTCACAATATCATAACTGACTATCACAGATTTAAATTAAAAAGAAGATACACCAAGTAACTTCAGTAAGCTATCACCATTTCAAAATTCCAACATTACCTAGAAACATTAGCATGTTTTTTAAGTATCAGTAATAGCAGTTTTAGTATAGCATTCACTGTTTTTTTCAGAGAAGTATATCCACATCTAATATCCTCTAAAGTAACAGTAAAAGCAGACCTCCAACCACATTCCTTTAAAACATTAAGATTTTTACAAGTAAAAATAATGATATGCATATGTGTGTATGTATACCACAATTCTCTTTATCAAACTTTAAAAATATATTTCCTCAATTCTCTAAAAGCACAAATATAGAAATACAAAACACAGGTTTTCTCTCAGCCTAAGTAATTCTTGTTTGTCAAACTGGAAAATGAATAAAATATCAGAATTCCCTAC